CATCGCGGTCATCGATGTTCAAAGATCCTGTTCCAGCGATCTGTGTCCCGGCTTCATTCTTGGTGCCGCCTGGTTGGTGGGCCATACAGGATGTAAAGCATGGAAGCATAGTCTCATGTGGACCCTGTCACAACCAGGTTTGACACTGACACGTTTTGGACAAGGAACTTGACTGCTCGCGGCTTTTGAAGACCTTGTAGATCCTATAGTCATCTTTCTTTGACAACTTAGCATAGACTTGAAGTCACGAGGTCCAAACACTAAAGGATGAAGCTTCACTATGATTCAAATCATGGGTCGAGGGCAGCACGCCCTTCATGGGGTTTGGCTTCCCACGCTGCGTCTTCAGGACGTCATCGATAAACGCCTAGCAAATAAACGTTCATATGAACCAGGTAGAACTAGGGCTGCAAGATGGCCTTTCCAGCTTCTGTGGATCCGTAGCGCATCTTAAGGTCCAACAGAGTGACTTCCTCGAAGATCTCATTGTTTTGCTGAACCTGCGACCTAACACATACCAAAAGAGCCTCAACACTCTCAAGCTTGTTGGGAACATCGCTGCGCTCTTGCAACATCAGCCAAGGATCGAGTTAACGTACGCGGTCAACGTCAAATCCCTCCTGGGCCAGTTGGATGTGGCTGTGGTTGGGTATGGGCATGCGGAGGGTTGTGGGCGGTCAGGGGAGTGTTTGGACCTTTCAATGAACCAAAAACCCTGCGGGCAAGCAGCATTTCGTCGTTGAGAAGAAACTCTTTGAGGAACTGAAACCTGAGCTGGCAATCCGGGTACTACACTGTTTGATACTATACTTTTTGATCAACAGAATGGTATTTGGGCTCCCACTTCTTTGAATGGTTCCCAGCGGCTTCGTGATACTTGGCGAGGAGCGAAGGTGGGATGTCTGCGGAGCCAAACTTGATCCACCAAAAAGAAGTTGAACGACAATAGTCATTATATAGTTAGGGGCAATCTAGTGTAATCTGTTTGGCCCTCTTGTCCCGCCTGAGCTGGACAGTCGCTAAGTTCTTCATACTTTTTGATTTGCGGAATCATGTCTAACCATGGATTGTCCTGCACCTTGACTTTTCACCCATCGGCGAACATCAGGTGGGAGAGACTCGGGGTCCAAGGCAGCCAGGGCATCCAAGACTTTGTCAGTGTTCCTCTTCTGGTCTTCCTTCTCCTTGTTGGTCTTCTGTTTGGCTCCCTTACTCCTAGTCTTCTCAACTTCCTCCTCCTTCTCCTTCTTCTCCTTCTTGGCCTTGGAAGCATCTTTCTCCTTCTTTGTCTTGCTCTTGGGCGCCTCTTCCTCTTCCTCTGCCTCTACCTTCTTGGCTCTCTCGGCCTTCCTCTTCTCACCCTTCGCTTCCTCTTCACCCTTCTTCTTTGATCCCTTCTCCGCTGCCTTGGTTTTGGCCTTAGAAGCATCTTTCTCCTTCTTGGTCTTCCTACTCTTGGGTTCATCTTCTTCTTCGTCTCCTTCTTCCTCTGCGTCATCTACCTTCTTGCCTTTCCCGCTCTTCTTTTTCCCACCCTTATCTTCCCCTTCACCCTTCTTCCTTGATTCCTTCTCCACTGCCTTGCTTTTGGCCTTAGAAGATCTTTCTCCACCTGTACCTTCTGGGTCTTCCTACTCTTGGGCTCATCTTCTTCTTCGTCTTCTTCCTCTTCTTCATCTACCTTCTTGGCTTTCCCACTCTTCTTTTTCCCACCCCCTTCATCACCAAGCTCCTGGTCAGAAACCCTTTTCTTGGATTTCCTTTGCGCCTGCGAATCCGCTTCAGCCCCTGAATACAGGATGGTGGCTAAGCTCTCAGCTTTCTTCTTACGCTGTAGCTCGGAAGCCAAGTACTCGTGCATTTCTTCCTTTGTTAGACCCTTGGTCCTCTCATACATCGACCGCAGCTCCTCTGGAGTGAAGCCTGACTGAAGAGACTTGTCATTTCCCTCCTCCTCAAAGCTGACCTGTCCAGCTACACTCTCCGGAGTCTTGCTCGAACATCGTCTGAGAATAGACTTCTCAAGAGTGACAAGCGGCTGACTGGGCTTCCTGGCAGCTCAAACAAACAATTTTAAGTTGGAAGCCTTTCCAGTTCAAGGCGAGTATTTCATCCAAGAGGCGGCATCTGAGCCAACTTAGTTGAAGACCGTTCAATCATCTAAAAAAACCATGGTTTCAAATTTCACGAAATTTCACGGACACCAACGCTTATAGACGATCTATGTGCACAATTTCACGAAATTTCACGGAATTTCACGCTAGTGAAATCCAACAATTGCAGCCACTCGTCGCAAATTTCATGCTTGCAGGTCGCAAAATTCATGTCTCCAGGTCGCAAATTTCATGAAATCTTATGAAATTTCATGAAATTTCACTAAATTTCATGGTTGTTCATGAAATTTGCGACAGGAGTTCTATAATATGAAACGACACTGGTTGTTCAAAGGCCTGTCATGAAATTTGCGACATTTGTCACCACAAGAATGCTTTGGGAGTAAGAGGGAAGAGGACTTGCTGCTGCTAAAGGGCATCCTGCTATGCAACCACAAGCACTGGCGCCCAACCAAGCCAAAATGACTCGAGCAACAGCGGGGTAGGCAGGTCTGTGACTGGTTGAAGTGATTGCAAACAGCCAGTGAGACAAACATCGGCCACGTGCCACATAATTAAAATATACACTTATCACTAGCGCGCAATTATGCAGGAAGGAGCTTTGTGTGGCCAGCCACTCTGCGGCGTCACGCGGCCTTGCGACATACTAGTTTGGAGAGTTCTTACAGGTCGCAGTCCGCTAACATATAGATAGTCATATAGATGTATGCATGAACCGCGAGGCAAAGCTAGCTAAGGATTCCTTCCAATCCAGAGTCCGACGTGTCAGACTCAGAGTCATCTTGAAACTCTAAGCCCGAATCAGGCCCAGCTCTCGCACCAGGGTTCTCCTGCCTTAGCTTCTGGCTATTGGTTACGGTTACTGCCTGCATCCAATCTCTGTCAGGCAAAGGCTGCTTTGCGTACAAACTGCATCTTCATCTTCAACAACTCACCGACCTGCATCTTGGCAACGGAGGGGAGGTCTACTTTTGGGGGGCCGCTGGAGTTTTGGGGCACCAATGTCGCAATGGGAAAGTGAGCAAGAAAGAACGACAAGAGAAGAAGAACAGAGAGAAGGAAAAGGAAGAAAGGAGCGTTCGTGCTTCAAACCTTTTACAGGCAGGCCTTGAGGCCCAAACCAATTGGGTATTCACTTGATTCAGTGAGATGCTTCCCACCAGCCTTAGGTAAATCACATGCAAGTTTGTAATTATACTTCTATTCCCGGTCTTTGCGCTGTCTACAGATACTTAGTGTAAGGACATGACTACCCGCTTCTCTCCAGCCCGATTGGTGTAGCGGCGAACCATCTCAGGTTGAGAGTGCTCTTCAATCTGGTAAGCCTTTCCCTGGCACACAAAGAACTACAGTGCATGGGTAAGAGAACTGACACCCCGCCTTTGCGCAGGGTCCACTTTGATTCCCAGGGGTTCCAGCCACGCGCAAGTGGTGTACAGTGTCACACGCTTCCTTGTCACTTAAGGCGCTGGAAACACAAACGGGTCAACTTATCCAGGAGGTCAAAAGGATAAAACAAAAAAGGCAAGGGCACTTTCAACCTGTGTTCGCAACCTTGTTTTTTGCACAGATACTTTTATTATAACCGCCAAGAAGCTCAGTTTTGGCGCCGAAAGCTCCCAAGGAGATTGTCAGTTGGTCTGCTCCATGACGTCGTAAAAGCTTCTGGAAACATGAGATGAATAGACATGTTTCCATGTCAGGTCTCATGATGTAATGCTTTCACTAAATAACATCAATTAAGTCCTCCATCGGTCTGTAATACCAGAGCACTGATGTGGTCGGGATTTCGATGACGTATGAAATGTTGCGCTTGTGGCAGTACTCCATCCTCGAGTCCGTACAAAGAAATCAAGGGTTTAGTGGATCAAATCCATAAAGCCTTAGAACTAGAAACGTAACTGGAGAAGATCGTGCGTTTTCTCGGGTCACTGACGCTGCCAAGGTGCAGGTACATGACTCGTCTGATGAGTCTGTTAGCTCGACGCACCTTGGCATACTTCTTGTTTCCTGCGCTGTAAGAGACATGAAGCTTACAGGAACAAGGCATGAAGGCGTGACAACAGCTGTCAGTAGTCATCCTTGGGAATGAGGGCAATCCCTACCTTACATACCAAGACAAGTTGAGAGGCCACCAAGGGTGCGTCTATCAACCAACTACTTTGTTTACGCTAAGGCAGCGCTGACTCCAACCAACGCACTGCTTTGGTCCTGCTGCTCTCCAACGAGACCGATGGGTAGAGCCTCTGCTGAGCCAAATCCAGGTAGCGCACGGGGGCGCACACCACCAAACTCCGTGTTCTTTGAGAGTTCGTAACTTGGCTCGTTTCAAGCGGAGAAGGATTTGGCTATAACACGAAATGAAACCTAGGAAGTCCTGTAAAACATTTGTGGGGTTTTCGAAACGAAAGCCACTGCTTTGAGACGTGCAGGGCACAGCCTGTAAGGCAGTCAGGAACCCAAGCCCAAAGAGTAAGTTGTGCCCCGGGTGGATCTTGACCTAAGATGCTTGCAGAGAGTTGGCGATGACATCTAGTATTTCTCTACCTTGGTGGCCTGGGCGGTCCATTCTTTCTTTACCTTGATCTCTTTCTTCACGCTTTGATGGAACAGAAGTCACAACAGTAAATACAGTAAAGCACACCAAACAGACAGGGCACATCCTGCCTTTGAACTGGAAGGTTCCACAAATGATTGCCTGAACTTAACAAAGCCTTTCCAGCGCAATCTTCTTGGAATACAGTTTCACCAGCTTCATCCACAGCGCCAAACTCTGCAATGAGCAGGGTCAAAACAGCAACAAGAGCACTATATTTCATTGCTCAGAAACAGGCCGCAATCACACCCCGGAAGACTTGAGCAAACTCAAACGACAAGTTAGAACTCAGCCAAGACCATGCGCAAGACAAAACAGCAGAGCTACCACTTGCACACTCACTTCACCAACACTCCATGACAGCTGGCCTGGTTCACACTGAGAAAGCTCCTGCGCAATGACAGATTTGAATGTAAAGGTTTTGATGTCTATGTCTATGTGGTTTTGCTCATAAGTTCAGGAAAGATGGTAGCAGCGCCCAAGAGCCTGAGACATCGCTGGTGAAGGTAAAGTTGAGCGACGCTCCCTGCGCTCAAACCTGAAAACCGATGAAAGCTGTACGTTTGAACACAAGTGGGAACACTCGCAAACATTGACCAGGGAATCGGACGGTCATCGGCGTAGTTTCCTGCCACCCCAACAAATCAAGCGCTAAGACACTGGGCTTGGTGAGCAAAGTCGAGAGAGCAGGAAGCCTTGAGAAACCATGTGGCTGGCCAGCCATGTCGGGCACCTCAACAGCGCAACACAAGTACACAGTACACACAAGTTCCACCAAGGCCAAAAAACGCACAGATGTACAGAGAAAGCGCACTTTGCCGATCTCTAGCCCTAGTTCAGCACACTCAGAGAAAAGGTGACATGTACCAACATGTCGAGATGCCCCATGGGTATGCGGTGGCAGCAGGTATTCCCGCTGAACCAAGAAAGAGCGAGGTGAAGAAGACTTTGGAACATTAGACGAAACCACATAATATGCGCTAAACCTGGTTGTGGTTCCAAAACATGTCAGCTTTCCTTCACCGTCAGAACCTGCGCCTTTTGCGCTCACTTTCAGACATGTTACCGATCAACTCTGCTCTTTCCTCGCTTTTCTTCCACTTCTTCAGGCTCTTGGAGTGACTGAATCCAAGGCCCTTGCACTTGGCCATAAATTGCCTGTAGGTATGCATCACTGGTCCATCATTCGGCTTTCTGGGTTGTTTTGCCGGCTTGGCCGGCGGCTTCTTTTTCTTCAGCCTCTCAGCCCCTCCATCGATATTCTTGGAACTGGCCTTTGTCAAATTTCACAAATACGCTTAACCCCTGCGATTAAGAATGCGCCCCTGCAAATAAGGGGAGCCATAGGTGCACACTACCTGAAATTGATCCGGACGTGCCTTTCATTAGCTTTGTCCAGAAACAACAATTGTGCACAAATGGAATTTGATTGAGAAACCTTGTGCAGGTGTGACTTCTTAAGGGTTATACAATGAAGCAGCTGCTGGTGAAGAGCGCTCACATTTTTTTCTCCCCCTTTGACATCCAGAGTGCCACCAAGAGACTTCCCGCCCATATCCCTCACACGGGCGGAGGGTTCACTTCAGGGCTCCATGATCCAGTTGCTTTGCAACTTGACCAAGTTGGAACTTCAAACAACACCTCAACATGGTGTTCAGATAACTGACAACTACTTTAAGATACTTTAAGTCGTGCCTGCCATGCATCATGCTTCTAGAAAGTCTTTATTATGCTGTGCACAAATGGAACCCTGTTGGAAACATCCATCGTCACTGTTTGTTGTGCTGACGCTGAAGTGCATCAGTGATGGACATCATCCCCTGCAGTCTGCAGTGCTTCTTTGCCTCACTGGTTGTCTGGGGCTTTGTCTCTTTGGACTGAGTAGAGCCATCCTGCTTTGCTTTCTTGCCTGTGTTGTCTTTTGCAGTTGCTCCTGCTTTTGCTTTGCTTTTTGCTTCTGCTTTTGCTTTGTGTTTTGCTTCTGCTTTTGCTTTGCTTTTTGCTTCTGCTTTTGCTTTGCTTTTTGCCTTTGCTGTTGCTTTTGCAGCTCTGGCTTTTGGTTCTGTGTGTGCCTTGCCGTTCCTGTTGGCAGCTGATGCTTTCGGAGCTGATGTTGCCTTTGGTGTTTGCTTGGCTTTGGCTGCCACTGCTTTTGGTTCTGCTTTTGCTTTTGCTTTGGCCTGGAATGACGCCATGTGAGATGCTTTGGTTTTTGCCTTGGGTTTGGCCTGGGCTGGTGCTGGGGCAGCAAGCTCT